CCCCATGTCTCCTTTTACGTCTTAGTTGTGAGCATGAACTAATCTAGAGCTAGACTATCTGGATTTGAATCCCAGCTCTAACACTTACTAACCATGCAACTGTGGACAAATTTACTAAGCTTTCTAAGTCTCAGTTTCCTCATCTAGAGAAGGGGTATAATAATAGGAAATATCTCATAAGAGTTGCTGGGAGGATGAAATGAGTTAATATGCAAAGTGCTTAGAGCAGTGGTTTGCACATGACAAAACTCTAGTGTTTCCTACTGTTAATCAATTCATTATACTTATTTTATTGCTATACTTTTTTACCTTTATGAAGCCTGCCTTTTCAACCACAGTGTTGCCTTTTAGAATGCTGTCTTCTTTTCCTTTGTACATAATCATATTTTGCACTCAGTGGGGACCCCTATAATGTTGTTGACTAATTGGTCTACCATGTTAGAAAAGATTGGTCCAAAGGGATTTTGATCTCATGTATGGTCTATTGGCTTGGGAACAAGCCCCACTATTATTCTTTCCCTTGCTTCCTAAAAGGTACCCCACCACTGGGTGGAGTTCTCAACTTCTCCAGGAACGCTTAGGAAAGGTGTCCTTACGAATGACCACTGGACCCTTACAATTCACTGCAAGGGAACTTGGCAACATTTTTTTTTTCTTCAGATGAGGAACTTGAGGATCAGGAATGGGAAAGAGCTTGTCATGGTCAATATTGGTGGGTGGCCAAAATTCAGACAATAAACCACATCTCTTGACTGCAGCCAAGTGTTTGTTCCATTGGACCACTGTCTATGAGGCAGTATCTGAGCCAACTATAAATGGGATTTATACCAGTTAAAAGGGCATGTCATTTGGAATAAATTATAAATATTTCCTTTGAGAGCCTATATTAGAGTATGGAATATTATTGTTTTCCAACCTGTAGGGTTTTGGTTGGTTCAGAAAAAGGTCAAGATCTAGTGTAACAAACTTGAATAACAATGACAATGCCTAGTGTGGGGTAGGCACTGGGCTATATGCGTTACACGAATGATCCCATTTAATTATCTAACAACTCTTTGAGGAAGATCCTATTTATCATATCCCCATTTTGTAGATTAAAAAAAATGAGGATTAGAATGATTGAGCAACTCAACCACATCTTCACAGTTGTAATAGGAATCCAAAAAGTTTGACCATAGACTATAAGGTCTCTCTGGCTGCAGTATCTGCTGCAACTTTGCTGTTAGGGTAAGGCCATCTTATTCATAGTGTGCACAATAGTGTTTTTTGGTATATTTCTGTGATGTGATGAAAGGAAATGTGTTAAAAATTTGAGTTTATGTAAACCTTGGTTAGA